GGGTTTCTCTGGGGACTTCACCGCTGGGGTCTTGGCCTCCTCCTTTGAGGGGGTCGGGGGCTTTTCTGGGGATTTGACAGCTGGAGTCTTGGCCTCCTCTTTTGAGGGGGTCGGGGGTTTCTCTGGGGACTTCACAGCTGGGCTCTTGGCCTCCTCTTTTGCGGGGGTTGCGGGTTTCTCTGGGGACTTCACCGCTGGGGTCTTGGCCTCCTCCTTTGAGGGGGTTGGTGGCTTTTCAGGAGACTTGACAGCTGGAGTTTTGGCTTCTTCCTTTGAGGGGGTTGGTGGCTTTTCTGGGGACTTGACAGCTGGGGTCTTGGCCTCCTCCTTTGAAGGGGACTTGGGTTTCTCTGGGGACTTGGCCTCCTCTTTTGCAGGAGACTTGGCCTCCTCTTCTTCACCCTCTGCTTCAGCTTTCTCCTCCTCCTCTTCTGCTTTTTCCTCTTCAGCCTCTTTCTCAGCCTCATCCTCCTCTGTGACTTCCTCGGTCACCTGGATTTCCTCTGTCTGCTCCTCCACAATCACTGTCTCCTTCTCAGATTTTTCCACCACCTTGATCTTCTCCTCGCTCTTCACCTTGATGTTGGTGGTGATGCTGGGAGCCTTGGGGACCACCTCAGGGAAGGAAATCATCCCAAAGCCGGACTCGATCCGATATTCCTCCCCTTCCAAGAGCTTTCTGCCAGGAAGAGACCAGAGCGGGGCAGTCAGCGATTGCTTCTCACCCAGCTCTTGCCTCCTCCCGTGACCAGGAGCTGCCAGCCGCGCCCTGCGGCTCCATCTCCCTCCTTGCCCTGCAGCTCCATCTCCCTCCCTCCTTGCCCTGCTTTCGGGATGCTGGCTGACCCTCCCGCTCCTAGGCCCTGGGCTGTGCGGGTTTCCTCACCCTTTCCTCTGCAAGCCATGTGCAGGGCTGGGCCACCCAGTTGGACGTTGCCCACCACGGTCTTGGGATGGATGGTCTCTTGCTCACCAAGAAGGGCCCTCGAGGAGTGTCCCCAGAGACACCAGCACTAGGGGCTGGCTGAGACCCTCCCGCCTTCCCCTTGCCCGCCCCATACCTATAAGCAGCAATTTCAATGTCCAGGGCCATTTTGACGTTGAGCAGATCCTGGTACTCCCGGAGCTGAGCTGCCATCTCCCACTTGGTGTTCCTCAGCTCGCTGTCGAGCTGCTGGATGGTTTCCTATGGCAGACAGAGCAATTGGTGACATGGGGGGGGCCAGTCCCCAGGAGCAGGGGGACACAGAGCACCCCTAACCCGTCTCCTGGTCTCCAGAGGAGGGACTGCTCCCCCAGCACTGGGGTGCCCTCACAGAGGGGTCTGCAGCCACCTCCCCCTGCAGACACAGAGGGAAGGGGACGTGTCCAGGGGCTGTTCGTGTCTCCTGTTCCCCTGGGGGAACCGGCAGGAGCCCTGCACCACCACTGCACTGCGGCCAGCTGAGCCCCCGGCCCCCTGCCAGAGCTCCCTCCAGCAGGGACAAGCTGTGGGAACGTTTCTAGGACTTGGGTGAGTCTGGCCACCAAAGCCCAGCCTGAGGCCGATGGGGCATCACCCTGGGGACAGCGTTTCAGTCCGCGGCCACCACACTGTGCAGACCTCTGCGCTGCAGCTCCCAGCTCTGGGACACAAGACGTGGCCTGAACCCTGGGCACGGTTCAGCGGCGTTTGTGACCAACATCGTGGGCAGCTCAAACCCCGGCAGAGACGTGGGACAGCTCCATCATGGGGGAGGGACACGACGGTCCGGATGCAACCTCAGGTTCTGGGTACCTGATCACCAGGAGCTGGGGAAGGCCGGCTCTAGACAAAACCCTGAGCATTTGCCACAGGTCATCGCCATCTCTGAAGCCGAAGCACCAGCGCTGCTCCTCCCCGGCAGCTGGATGGTCCCTCCCCACCAGACAATGTCTGGAACGCTGCCCACTGCGCCACGTTACCTGGTAGGACAGGACATCTGCATGATGGCGCTCCTCCGAATCCTGCCTCTGCCTCTCCAGTGACTCCTGGGTCCCTTTGAGGGCTTCGAGCTCGGTGGTCTTGGACTGGAGCTGGCGGCGGTACTCGCAGATCTCCTCCTGGGCCAAGCGGATGGCATCCGTGTTCACCTTGGCAACCTCCGAGAGCTTGTCCAGCCTCACTGCAACAGGGGAAAGGAGAAGCTGCAGGGAGGGAGGGAGGCTGCAGTCTCCCCTTCTTGGGGAACCTCAAATCCTTTAATACTGCACATCCCCTGCGCGTGCATCCTCCGCAGAGCCAGCCCTGGCAGGGGCTCTCTGGGTGCGCTGGCTTCACCAGCCCTCGCTCCGTCTGTGCTCGCGCTGTGCCGGGGAGGTGAAGGTGCCCGGGCAGGACGGGCTGGGAGGGTGTTTTTTGCCATCCTGGACTTTATCCAGTGCAAACCTCCCTCTCCCCTTCAGCTCCTGCCACAACCCCTGTGACCTGAAGAGCTGC